CTAAATTAATAATAAATAAAACAACATTAGGATAAAATGAGATTAATTCAACGGCTGTATAACAATTTTTACTGTTTAAATATAAATATATATGTAATAAGTAAAGATTTACTCTAAATTTTAACTTGTTTTTTAGAAAGCTGTACATTGAAAAAAAAAGTGATAAAATGTTTTCATTTTGAGCTTTTTCAAAATAAACAAACAGAATCTACAGTTTGTTTGAAAAATTAAAACAAACATTTCCACCAGCCTCTGATTATTGAAATATAGATTAAAAGTATGTTTTCACTTTGTTTTAAATCAGAACAATAAAGTTCAATCTGTGCAAAGGCGCTCCACAGATTTATAAAAGATGTTTTCAAAAATAGAATTTGTTCATAAAACCACAAACTAAAGCATCTTAAAGAGATAAAACTCCAGGTCAGGTCCAGCTGAGTGTACCGAGCGGATCTCCTGATCACCATGGAAAACATGTTGTGTGCAACACAAACAAGTCCCTGATGAAACATCCAAAGTCCAAACAGTAGATCCACTGGCTGATATTTTATAACAGAAAAAATAAATCAAAGTTTGAGTGGTCGCCTCTCCCACAGAGCTCTGCTCCACAAAACTCTGGAGAGTATTGTTTAACTAGAAAAACTAGATGGATGGATGGATGGATGGATGGATGGATGAATGGATGGATGAATGGATGGATGGATGGATGGATGGATGGATGGATGGATGGATGAATGGATGGATGAGTCGATGTCTGGCTGGATGGATGGATGGATAGATGGATGAGTCGATGGATGGATGCATGGATGCATGGATGGATGGATGGATGGATGGATGGATGGATGGATGGAATGATGAATAGATGGATACATGGCTAAATGGAAAGATGGATGGATGGATGGATGGATGGATGGATGAATAAATGGATAAATGGATGGATAGATGGATGGATAAATATACGAAGGGATGGATAGATAGATGGATGAATGAAGATAGATGGCTAGATGGATGGATGATGGATGGATGGATGGATGGATGGATGGATGGATGGATGAAGAATGAACGAATGGATAGATGGCTAAATGAATTGATGGATAAATGGATGGATGGATAGAATGATGGATGGATGAATGAATGGATAGATAGATGGATGGATGAATGAATGGATAGATGGCTAAATGGACAGTTAGATGGATGGATAAAGGGTTGGATGAATAGATGGATAAATGGAGGGATGGATAGATAAATGAATGGATTGATGGATGATAGATGGCTAAGGATGGATGGATAAATGGATGGATGGATGGCTAAATGGAAAGATAGATGGATGGATAAATGGATGGATGAATAAATAGATGGATGGCTGGAGGGAGGGGTGGATGGATGGTTGGACAGATGGATGGATGGATGGATAAATTGATGGATAGATGATAGATAGGTAAATGGATGGATGGATGATGGATTGATGGATGGATGGTTGGATGGATAGATTGATAGATGGGTGTATGAATGGATGAATTGATAGATGGGTGGATGGATGGATGGATGGATTGATGGATGGATGGATTGATAGATGGGTGGATGAATGGATAGATGGAAGGATGGATTGATAGATGGGTGGATGAATGGATGAATTGATAGATGGGTGGATGAATGGATGGATGGATGGATTGATGGATGGATGGATGGATTGATAGATGGGTGGATGAATGGATAGATGGAAGGATGGATTGATAGATGGGTGGATGAATGGATGAATTGATAGATGGGTGGATGAATGGATGGATGGATTGATAGATGGATGGATGGATTGATAGATGGGTGGATGAATGGATAGATGGAAGGATGGATTGACAGATGGGTGTATGAATGGATGAATTGATAGATGGGTGGATGAATGAATGGATGGATGGATGGGTGGATGGATTGATAGATGGATGGATGGATTGATAAATGGATGGATGGATTGATAAATGGATGGATGGATTGATAGATGGGTGGACGAATGGACGGATGGATGGATCGATGGATGGATTGAGATGGGTGGATGAATGGATAGATGGAAGGATGGATGGATAGATGGATGGATGATGGATGGATGAATGGATGGATGGATGGATGGATGGATGGATTGATAGATGGGTGGATGAATGGATGGAAGGATGGAAGGATGGATTGATGGATGGATGGATTGATGGATGGATGGATGGATGGATTGATGGATGGATGGATGGATTGATGGAAGGATGGATTGATGGATGGATGGATGGATTGATGGAAGGATGGATTGATGGATGGATGGATGGATGGATGGATTGATAGATGGGTGGATGGATTGATAAATGGATGGATGTAATCCATTAATCTGTTACACAAATAGGACCAAGTTGTGAAACTGATTTTTTTTTAACCGTTTGAACATTTATCTATTTATTTATCATATTTATTTTACATTTGACTTAAATATGTTTAGAAGCCTTGGCTTGTTTATTTTAAGGGTTGACTCTTGGCTGCTGGTACTGATTGGGTTTTATGTTCTGTATGTAATCTGCAGATAAAAATAATCCAGTGGCACAATCCAGCTTCTTCTTTGGAGTGTTTTTCTTTTGTTCGTGGTCCCAAACAAATAAAATAAGCCTAATTTTGACCCTAACTGAAGGTGAAACACTGACAACCTGTTGTTATCCTCAGCCCCCACAGACCACATCCTGTTCAGTAACCGGTCTCAGATCCAGTCCAGTCTGAAGCATCATGAGAAGGCTCTGATGGATGCAGAGACAGCCTGCAGACTCATGCCCCTCTGGTCCAAGGTGAGGCAGCGTGATGAAGAACGTCTGGTAGGTTCATGGGCTCGTAGCAGGAACATAAAGTCTTTCTGTCTCTGACTTCAGGGTCATGTTCGGAAGGCTCAGGCCCTGGTGTCGTTCGGCAGGACTGAGGAGGCTCTGAGAGAGTACCTGATCTGTCTGTCTGTAGAGCCCGACTGTAGGCTGGCTAAAACAGAGGCTCACAAGGTAAACACATGGTACTGCCTTTATTAAGAGTATAAATACACACTTTTACAACACAGAGTAAGTCCATCACTTCCTGTTTCTGCCCTCAGCTCCTCAGTGAGATTCTGGCTCCCGCCACAGACCAGGTCCCTGAACACATCTCAGACTGCTCCAACATCCTGTCTTCCAGAGCGCACATCAAAAGCAGCATCAGTTCTTCCATCCAGGTGAAGACGCACTGACGTTCAGAACAGGCCTGGAGAAAAGGGGGCAATGCACATTTTTTATTAATCCATCTGTTAACCTTGTCTCACCTGTGTGTCCCTCAGACCCCCAGTCCTGGACTGTTGTCCTCAGAGCCCACTCTCTCTGCACCTGAGCGGTCAGACGGGAGTCTGGAAAACACTGAACCCAAAACGATCCGTGACTGTCTCCTCCTGAAACGGAAACGAAGGAGCATAGAGGAGGAGGAACAGGGACACCAGAAGAAATCAAAGACAGGTGAGTTTAACATGAGCCCCCACAGGATCACCCAATGATCTGTGGTTTTACTGTCCAGTGATCTCTCCACGCAGAACCAGAACCTGGGTCAGATTCTTTGAGCTTCGTGTCCACTGACCTCATGGACCCGATAGATGTGGAGTGTTCTCTGTGTATGAGGTGAGATTTTGTTGAATCGTACATGTAATAACTCAGAGTGCTGCAAACAGCCTCTAATAACACCGTTTATTTGTGTTTCCCATCCAGGCTGTTCTACGAGCCGGTGACGACGCCATGCGGTCACACATTCTGCCTGAAGTGTCTGGAGAGGTGTCTGGACCACAACCCCAAGTGTCCCCTCTGTAAAGAAGAGCTGTCTGAGGTACATGCTGCTTCCCTCCAGTCGGAACGTGAAGCCTGAGAGCAAATTAAACACGTCGTGGTGTTCCTCAAGGCTCCAGTTTAGGCCCATATTTCTTTGTATTAGTGCTTGCTGCTGTGAAAGGCAACTATTTGTGTTTATGTATTTGTATCTGATAGCAGTAAAATATAATTCAGTTAATTTCAGTTCTTTTACATATTTACATGGTGCCAACAAAAGCCATTTTAGGGGGCTTTGCAAGAAAACTTTTTTTTGCCTGGTTTCAAACGTTCGGGTCAACATAAGCTGTGTTTCCATTGCAAATGTGCGCAAAACTTTGTCGATATTCTGTTAATGTCGATAAAACACAGTTTCGCAACTGCAGTGTTTCCATTAAGTAAGAAATGCTATTAAAGTCACGCGTGAATACGTTTGTTCTCATGATAAGTCATTACAAACATGGCAGCGATGGATGTAAACACATATCATGTTGCTACCACGACACTAGCGCTCATCATCAGAGGAGACGTCGGCATCTTTTATCGAGGCTTTCCAGAGACAAGTCCCTACTTGGGAGCGGCNAAACATGGCAGCGATGGATGTAAACACATATCATGTTGCTACCACGACACTAGCGCTCATCATCAGAGGAGACGTCGGCATCTTTTATCGAGGCTTTCCAGAGACAAGTCCCTACTTGGGAGCGGCTACGTATGCTGTGTTTTTGGGAAATTGTAGTCGGTGAGTTTAATACATTATTTTATTAATTCTGTAATATTACTACTACTTACTTACTGTTATCTTCTTCGTCATCGTCTTTTTCGCCAGTAGAAACAGCTGGTTGTTGATCATGTGACTCCCGTGATGCGAAAAAAATGTTTCCATTGCAGTTTTGCGAAAAACAACAATTTCGATACGGCCGAAAAACCACCTCATCCTAGCGCAAAAACATTTTGTTGAAAAACATATTTTTTTTCTAAATTGACGTGTTTCCATTGAGCAAATTTGTTTTCGAAATTCTAATTTGCGCATTTTCATGGTCAATGGAAACGCAGCTTATGTCTGTTTACTTTTTCTATATCAGGCGAATCAAACTCTAAGAGCCAGTTCTAATTAACTGCAAACATTTGTTTAACTTTGACTAAACATTAAACATCACATTCCTGGGCACCACTAAAACTGAGCTCTACGTGGTATTTCCTGCATAGAAACAATGTTTTAACATATCCACTTATAAACACTGAAAAGTACTACTTTTATAACTGACTAAATATGAAATAAATACAGAAATACTATTAAATGTAAAAGTAAGAGAGTTTTACTCACCGATGAGTTGTGGTGAGTAGCTGCTGTCTTGAACTTTAGACTCTCCCACTTTCCAACAGGGAATTCCCACTGGTGGAGGGGAGTTCCAGTTTATATTTATGACTTGTACGTGAGAAATTCCCACTTGCCAATACAACAGCAAAAATGATGTGAAATGGAGATTCTATGTGTCAAATTTTGCCTTAAACCCTGTGCAGCGCCCCCTAGTGTTGCGATGATGCCATTTTGTGGGTAAAATAATTGATAAGCATTATGGGAGATGTAGTTTATGGTCAATGTAAGCATTAAAGCCACTTTTTAAGACATTAATTATTTTTAAAGCTCTCGCAGGCCACATAAAAAGACGTGGCAGACTAATTTTGGCCCACAGACCCTGATTTTGTCACGTGCTCCACAGAAATAAACTATGGAGTTTCTGTTTGTGTCTGTCTCAGTACCTGGTCCAGAGGCAGTGCTGTAAGACGGTAGTGATGGAGAAGCTGATATCCAAGTATCTTCCCTCTGAGTTCATGGAAAGACAGAGAATCCACCTGGAGGAGATGGCTGAACTTTCCAAGTGAGTTCGTGTGACATCATAGTCTGTTCTCACTGCAGGCATACTTGAGCCGTATTGGATGAAATGTTCACCAATCCGACCCAGGTCTTCATCAAGAACGTTCCTTTGGAAGGTGTCAGTAAACAAAGAATATATTATTCCTGTTTCTGTGCAGCCTTAACAAGAACGTGCCTGTGTTCGTGTGCACCATGGCCTTCCCCACTGTGCCCTGTCCTCTCCATATCTTCGAGCCCTGCTACAGACTGATGGTCCGCAGGTGCATGGAGACGGGAACCAACTGCTTTGGCATGTGTCTGGAGGACGGCCTCAAAGGGTCAGCATCAGGACCTTCATGCATCCTTGGTTGTGTGTTTTTTTTTCCTGTTGAGCACCATAGAAAAAAAGGTTTTGTTGTTCCTCTGCCTCCAGGTTTGCAGACTACGGCTGCCTGTTGGAGATCCGTGATGTCAAATTCTTTTCCGATGGCCGATCAGTGGTGGACACGATCGGTAGACGGAGGTTCAAGGTCGTTCAGCACCGCGAGAGGGACGGCTACAACACAGCTGATATAGAGTACCTGGAGGATGTGAAGGTATGCTGCTGGGGGGCATCACCTGTAAAACAAGGGGGTCGATGTAGACATGTGCACACAGTAGAAGAGGGGAATGGATCCAGAGAGTAAAACTGAAACTTGTTGAAGCTCAAAGGTGTGTATGTGTTTACAGGTGGAGGGTGAGGCGGAGCGTGAGCTGCAGTCTCTACATGATGCTGTGTACGAGCAGGCTCTGGTTTGGGTCAACTCTTTGAAGGCTGAGCAGAGACAGCGCATCGAAGGACATTTTGGACCCATGCCAGAGAAGGACTCTGAACTTCAGGTAAACAATCACAAACATGTTTACTTTGTTTGTTTTTTAGTTTGCTTTTCAAATCTTGGAATGAACCACCGCCTTGGTTCTGTCAGAAACCACACAGAAGGGGTCTGTCAGAGATTCTTTACCTTTATTTCTTTACCTTGAGGGCCTCAAAACAACAACAGATTTTATCTTTGGGCAGCAGAGGGCTGCAGGACGGCAATTATTTTAAATGAGGTACAATATACCTTCTCACCACTAGTAGCAGTAGTGCGACACTCAGATGTTTAACAACCTTTTTAATATGTAGAAGAACCTTAGAAACCTGCCGAGAATGGAAACGTATTTTAAAAGAAAAGTAGAAGAAAAAAATGAAAGTAACTCATCAAAAAACACCAAAGTTTGTCACTAATATGAAGAACAGCTTCTGTTTTTACCATGTAATATTTTAAAAGTTCAAAACATTATCAAATACAGTTGCAGATACAACTATATTTTAATTTGCGCTTTAGATTAGTTTTTGTAGTTTATTTTAAAAAGTTTTAAAGAAACTTTAAACTTGTCAAAAAGCTGTTGTTACTGTTATTGTTTGTCACTAATATGAACAGCAGCTTCTGGTTCTACCATGCAAAAATTTAAAAGTTTGGTTAAATTTTAAACATTTACCGTATTTATTCAAGTACAATACGTAAAATTTAATCCATAAAATCATGCACAAAGTTGGGGGTAGTACTATACTCGAATAAATATTTTTACTGATGTATTTTAACTGAAATATCGGCCTCATTAACAAAATCCTTGAGTCCGGAAATGAAACCCTGTCGTAAAAAGTGGTTGAAGCGATCTTACCTCTAAAACTCCTTTGTGCCTCCGAGCGAGACAGTAACAGATCCAAACAGGCAACATGATGTGAAAAAAAAGGCAGTCCTGCAGCTTAGTTATGATAACGAACTAATGATATTAATGTGGGACTGGGCCACTCCTGGAACAACAACAAACACATGGTCGTCTGTAATGGCTGCCGTCTACCGGTGTTCTGTAAAAGTTGGTCTACCTGAAAAAAGTTTCCCCACCAGAGGGGGCGCTGGCGAGACACAGAGGATGAGGTTCTTGTTGTGTGGAATTCTGATGCCTTTTATTACAGAGGAGGAATACCAGAAACTTTTAATGATACTGATGATGGTGAGCCTGATTTTGAAGGTTTTGATTCAGCTTCATCCACACTTGTTATAGAGCCACACAGCTCTATCTGTTTGTTAGATCACACCAGTTAACAAATGAACATTTGATAGTTTTTGTTGTAGTTATACATTTGTTGTTGTGTACCTTTTAGTACAAATGTTGTTAAAATAAAATTAAAAACTAATACAACAGTCAAATGATAATTTTACTCATATATATGAAGACTGCAAAGGTTGAAAAATCCCGAAGACCATATGAAATTAGAGGTAGTATGAGAAATAATTTTTTTTGCTTTTTAGGCTAAAAATAGGGGGGGTCGTATTATACATGAGATCGTATTATACACGAATAAATATGGTACACTGAACGTTTTGAATGTATTTATTTTATGACCACTATATATATTAGAGATGGGATAAATGGTTCTTTGAAGGGATCCAGATCTTGGGGAGTCGTTTGTTTCATAGAGCCGTTCAAAAGATCCGTTCGATTTTGAACGTATTACGTCATCACGTAGGAAAACACGTCATCACGTAGCCGTACTTAATGACGTCATCCCGTCATGTGGGTGGAACCATGTGTTTGTCAAGCGGAAACCCCACTTCCTCTCACCATGAGCCTCTGTACACCAGAACTCAGCCTGTTTTCCGTAAAAAAGCAAAGCGGGAGCAATTTAATTATGAAAAAAGTAAAATTATATGAGGAATAAAAGAAATAAAACTACAAATGGCTCGTTACTGCCCACTATCTGGCTCCTGTCGTTAGTTGTAAAGAGCCATTCAAAAGATTC